GCTTGAAGGTGGTGAGGATCCACTGTATGTGGCAAGAAGGCTGGTGAGGTTTGCAAGTGAGGATATAGGTATGTATTAGCATTATGTATATGGGAATGTTTTAGCCAGTGTGACAGGCTCATGACTACTATACTGCCAATGGGCATGTCTCACCTCCTTGGCTATGCTGCACCAAGGTCTACTTGCCCACGATGACTCGTAAAGTGGGATTTTAACCTCTGGAGGTGTTGTTCAGTGGTCTACCTGGAACTCTGGGCAACCGTGTTGGCATGTCTTCTTTTGGCATGTCAGATCTGGTTCCCATTGCAGATGCTTTACTTTATTTTTGCAACAGTTTCCCACTGCAATCAGCTGGACCAACTAATATGTGTACTATTTTGTAGGATAAGTACAAGACATCTTTGATCTCTTTTCCTTTTTCTCTTCACTATTTTCTTTCTTATGGCTGTTATGAACTTACCAGTTGTAACCACAAGCTGTTGCCTTTGGTCTTTGCATCAATGTTGCTGTCTTCCATGTTTCAAATCATAGAAATGATTAGAGTTGGAAGGGACTTCAGGAGATCATCTAGTCCAGGGTTTCTTAACCAGTGGGATGCATCCCACTGGTGGGACACACAGGTCCTCTAGGTGAGACTCGGGTCGTGGTGGCAAAACTGGAAGTGCCACGGCGGGATTTCTGGTTTCACTTTTGCGTGCTTTGATCTGCCAGAGGGGGAACGCCCCTGCCCTGCTCTTTGACTGGCCTCTGAGTGCCCCCCCCCACTCTTTGACAGGCCTCTGGGGGACACACCCCCGCTTGCCAACCGGTGGGACCAGGATTTTTTGACCTGATGTAGGTAGGATGTAAGGTGCAAAAGATTGAGAACTGCTGAAATAGTCCAACCCACTGCTCAAAGCAGGGCCATCCCCAACTAGATTATCCCAGCCAAGGCTTTGTCTAGGTGGGTCTTAAAAACTTCCAAGGATGGAGATTCCACAATCTCTCAGGGTACCCTTTCCCAGTGCTTTACTATCTTCCTAGTGAGAGTTTTTCCTAATATCTAACTTAAACTTCCCTTGCTGCAACTTGAGACCATAGAAGTTAGACTTTTATTAAATAAAAAAGCTTTGAGGTTCTCAAATATCCAAAGTCTTAGAGATTTCCAATTTTCTGATTATAGAAGCTAAGCAAACAAGTCTTCTTGACTTGAAGAATTTAGCTCTCTCTAGCTGGCACTCGGCTTTGAGGAACGTAGATGGCTTATGCACCATGATTCTACAATCTTGTTGAATGTGAATTAGTCATCTCCTTATGTTATCCACAGTTCCAGTATCTGAGATTCTGGTATTTGGAATGCAATTCTGAAATATACACGTGCAACCTTCCTTTCAGTAGTGGGTGGCTGACTTGGTAATATAATTGACAAAATGTGCTGCTTACAGTGGATCAGGGGTGGTCAGTTAGTGGCATGTGGACCCCAGGCTCCTGCCTGACTGCCACTTCTCACTTCTCTCTGGCTGCAGGAGCAGCTAAGGCAGGGGCAGGCAATTATTTCAGGCAGGGGGCTGCTTGCTGAGTTTTGGCAAGCCATCAAGGCTCACATGACAGGCAGCCAGAGGCAGATAAATATTAATTGTCTAAATTTTTTAGGGGCCCTGCAGGCCAGATAAAATGGCCTGGTGGGCTGCATCCGGCCCGTGGGTCACATTTTGCCCACCCTTGAACTAGGGGCTCCAGGCTCCTCCTCCTTCCTCTGGCTTTTGCTGCCTACCCCTGCTGCAAGGAGTGAGGTGATTAAAGCTGAAGGTGAGCCTGGGGCCACACTAGTGCATGGTGGTGGTGGGAGAATGTTTGTATGTGTGCACAGTGCAGTGGTGAGCAGGGCTGGGTGCAGCAGTGTAGTGGCTGCCCACGCAGTGCAGCAGGGGTGTCTGTGCAGTGCAGGAAGCACAGGTCCTGTCTGGTTACACTGCTGTGGTCCACAGGTATGCAGCCCTGCTGGTGTCGCCTATGGGGCATTTGGTCCCCAACCATTTAGTAGCTAGACACCTCTTTTGTAGATTGTTGATTTTAATGTACTGTCACTTGATCTTCTTGTTGCAGGACTAGCGGATCCTTTGGCATTACCACAGGCTGTTGCTGCTTATCAAGGTTGTCATTTTATTGGCATGCCCGAATGTGAGGTAAAATCCTCATGTGATTTGGTTGACCAGACATATATACCTGTTTTAACTAAGTTATATTTTTCTTGGCACTCTTGATTTCTTTCCTAAATAAACACAGCCACATAGTTTAATATTCTAATGGTATGGACATCTGTTTACTCTGGAGTAAGCTGATTTTACTCTGTGATAGAAGTGGAGCAGACACATGATTTATTGCCTTACACTGATGCAGTTACTCTACTTGCAGGGTAAAGTCACTCCTTGAGAGTGAAGAGAAATGGTACAAGAGTGTAAGTTACAGCGGTGTATCGTTTGTCTGCTCTTACTTAGTTTTATCCAGGGAAGAATCTTTTTGCTCACTGTAGGCAGGCTGTCTAGCTCCTGAAAGCTAGGCCTTTAATAGTACCTGCTATATTGTGTAGCCCAGGGGTTGGCAACCCCGGCACGCGTGCTGAGCGTGGCACGTGAGGCCATTTTGCTTGGCACGCTGCAGCCAGCCCCAGTTCCGGGAAGCTGCTGCCAGCGACGGAGCCTGGACTGCTCCCAGTAGGGCTTGCAGCATCCCAGCTGCCTGCTTTCAGCCGCCAACCGGGATCCCGGCTGGCAGCAGCTCCCCAGAGCCGGAGCGGCTGCAGCCGGGAGGCTCTAAACAGCTGTGCCGGGCTCCTGCATCAGCTCCACATCGGCGTGTGCAGGTGTGCCTTGGAGTGGGCAGTGGGGACGGGGCTTGAGGCAGCACAGCCCCAGTCTCTCCCCTGCTTCCAGTACAGAGGTGATAAGCCAGGCACAGCTGTTTGTAGCCAGCCTGGGCTCTGGACAGCTG